ATTTCTCAGGATGGTTGCCTGCTTTTTAAATTGCTTTTTAAATTAAATGAAATAAAGCCATCAGCTATGTTCAGGTGTTTTCCACTAATCACATGGCTAGAGATTTAATCCCTGGCTTCTCCACAAGTGTCCTTGGGCAAAATACTAAACAGGATGCTCCCGGTGGCTGGTGAGCACCTTGAATGACAACTGCACCTCCATTGTAAGTATGTGGAAAAAGTGAATGAGACACAAAGCAGCAAAGCAAAGGAGTTTGAGAACTTCTAAGAAGAAAAGACCTGTAAGTGCAAGCCATTTATCACTTGAATAAAGGAAAGACACAGACACAATAGAGCATTGTCACAAGCAAGCAGCAAAGCACTGTTTGTAGGGAGAAAAAAAAGGAAAATAAGAAATACTAGTCAGAAAAAGGAGTTCAGTCAACATCTTGTGAACATTGAAATGCATTCTATCTTCTCGCGTGTCCTCTTGGCCTGGAGAGGCTGGCTCTGAGCCACTGAATAAATATAATATAGCTGCATACGGGACAGTAACACAGCTCTCCTAGGATTAACGACTGCTATAGTGATAATTGGATTTAAATTCTGGCATTTGGGTTTTGTTCTGAAAAAGGAGATGTAGAATAGAGTTAGTATATAACCTTGACTATATAACAGTATACATTTAGATCCAGATTTAAAACACAGCTTTGGGCAATACACCTTGGATCTGCCCAATGCTGGTACATTCCCATAAAAACAATTTAAGGTTATTTATTTATTATATCAACTTTAAACATCTGGTATGTACAATTTCTAGTACATCAATTTAACATTTTAATAAACATTTTGAAAATGAAAGAAATATACTAGAAAAAAAAACCCACACACAGATACTGGTGATGACCCAAATAAACAGCAAAGGTACCATTAGACTATATTAATGTAATTAATGATGTCTGTATTAAGGTTTCCATTCTATTCTTATAATATGCTGCTAATTAATGTGTCCCTAATAGAAGGGAAAAAAACCACAAAAGTTCAAATGAAAGTTTTTATGACTTCTTATGAAGTCAGTTATGCTTTTCTTACTTCTTACTCTCAGTACCCTTTGGAAACGAGCTACAATAATAAATTTTGAAATCATGCCCCGGCAGCCAGCTGCGATACCTCTAATTAACCTCACACATCTCCACTGATGGTTTTAAAATTAGCCTAATAGTAAAGTAAGTAATGGATTACTATGGTTTAAGTGGTGCCCTGGATAGATTTTAGTCAAAACTGCCTCATTTAGCCATGTATGTAAGTTATAAACACTGCGTTGGATCTACCTAATAAAAATACTTGGAATTGGCAGAAAAGTTATTCTTGTTTAGATGTTTTACCTCCTGATACAGTATTTCTAAATGGCACAAACAATGCACGTGAATTTCTTATGAAGTTGTTTTAATAGGAGATAGTTTTCTGTTTTTCTTACATGTATTGCTATTCATAACTCGGACTTCTCTGCTGTGCCAGTATGCATATAAAACACACGTTTTATCCATTTGATCTTTTTCCTCTTTGGACTAGCAGTGTGATAGTGAAATGAAATGACTGAACTGATTAAGCTAGACAGATAAAGGCCTTACAAGCTTTGGATTGTTTAATTGTTTTTGTCATGCTGAACAATAATTATTTTTTTTTTTTACTTCAATACAAACTGATCAAGAGAAAAAAAATAAGATGAGAGACACAAACCTATTGTAATGTAATACAATAGTCTCATTTCGAAATTTGCTCACTTTTATCGACAAGTTGAAGACACGTCCTCCTGCCGGGATAGATTTATGATGGTACTTTGGAGCTTCAATGAAAGCCCAAACAAAACCTTGGAATTTAATGTGCAGAACACATTTAACCGAGTAAAAATACAAAAAAAAAATCAGATTCCATTCGGTGATAGCGCAGTGGGAGAGACTTGCAGCCCTGGAAACTGATGGGGAACATGCACATCTAAGCATCTATCTGTATTTGAACAGTTCTATACCCAGTGCATTTAGGTAGGTCACACTCTCAACAATTTAGTAATTTGTTGTTAAGATGTAGCATGCTGCATTTTTAAAGCACTACTTATTGCACAATATGGCCGGTGGGCTCACACTGGGTTTTTTTTTGTTCCATCTATGAATATCTGTAGCATGTACATACTGCACATAATGCATTTACTTTATTTAAAGTCTGCACCCTGTACTCCCTCTGAAGAAAGATTGCTAAATTAATGACTTCTAATACCCATCAAATGTTACTGGGGCTTTTAAAATAAACAATCCAGTCAGACCTCCTGAAGTTTGCTGTATTATTAAAACAAAAGGGAGTCTGGCTCTCCTTGATTCATCTTTTACATTCCTGCCCACAAACAACATTCTCTGCAGGCGAGCGTAGCTTTTCTGGTGTGACAAAGGGAATTACTATGGCAGTGCCAGATAGTGTAGCTCCATTTTTCAGATCGCTGTCTGTTTGTATTTCCTTTCTGTGCTGAGGTGCCAAATGAGAGCATTACGAAGTTGCTTTTGTGTGCTTTTGCGTCTGTGGTGACCCAGTTGAATGAACAGGCAGAGGTCCAGAAAGCGGGCTCCAAACTCCTCTGCAGTCTCCCGAAAATCACTCTCAGATGGTGATTGTGCGAGTCCCCTGAAGCGTGAAAAGCATGCATGAGATCTTTTTATTTGCTCTACTTATGAAATTCCTGGTTGCTGTCAAGTCGTTGAAGAAAGATGGGACTTTATTTATGAAGTCTGCGAAACTCTCAAGATTAAATTTTCAAGGTACGCATAAACAAAACCCATTTTACTATTTTGATTTTGCAGTACTTGCCATTTAAATTTCACACTGTCCAATATTACTCAGTTCAGGTTTTATTATTCATGATTTTATCAAGCAATAATGTCAATTCAATTCTTTCACCATATAGCGCTCTTTAAAATTGAACTATATTAAGCAATAGTTCATCCCTTTGGATGTCATCTGGAATTACGGGTTAGTTCTACTGAGTTAGTCTGATCTGAATGATTAAATACAGTAACATCAAAATACTGTAAATCAAATTGAATACAAGAACTCCACTATCAAAGACAGCAATACCTGTATTTATAATCAAGTACATACAAATATGAATACTTTTAGGAATGTATGGCTGTTTATCATACTCCATTTGCCTATAAAATGTAGGTCAATTAATTGTTTATAATCTCTATGTTTTATTAGTAAAGGGAAAAATTGTGCTTAGACTAAATATGATAACTATTTAGTCTTGTTCCATTACATGGTGCTGTACTATTGCTACCCGGTAGTTAAAAAAGCCAGTGTTCTCATTGCTATGATATCATACCATTCAAAAAAAATGGTAGAGACACAAATAACTTTTACTGTGGTAAAGCACACAGTAAACCAGTGCAACAACCTTTTTATTATCTTGTTATTATAATTATAGTGTACATTATTGCAGAGAATGTTCATCAGAGCACAACCTTCAGTGTCTGGGGCTGTTTGGAGTCAAATGTGTAGCCGTCAGCATGAGATGCTGGATTGCTGCCTTTGGATTAGGGAAGGGTTGTTTCCCTAAAGAAGCTTTACTATACTGTTCAAAAGTAATGGTATATGGCAGCGTGACCTGGAGAGATAACTTGCTGTGGCTTCAGCAGCAATGCAGGTATTGTACAGGTTAGCAAAAAGGATAAGCTTTTAATCTTTTAGTTGATCTACACTCACCAATTAGCATGTAGCAACTATATCGACATAATAGCATCATGCAACAGTTGCTACAGATTTCCTGGTTTCACATCCATGATGTGAGCCTTCTGTTTCACCACATCCCAAAGTTGCTCTGTTATACTGGGATCTGGTGACTGTGGAGGCCATTTGAGTACACTGTAATGTTCAAGAAACTAGTGTGAGATGATCTGAGTTTTGTGACATGGCACCGTAACCTTCTGGAAACAGCCATCAGAAGATGGACACACTGTGCTCATACAGAACTGAGCATGGTCAGTAAAAATAGGCTCAAGTGTTTAATCGATGTCTGGTTTATCCTTGGTTTGATATTCAGCAAGTTCTTTCACCATGTCTGCATGCTTAAATATAGACAAATAGGTCACCTTGAGATTGACTGATTAGATATTTGTTCTATTGAGCAGTTGAAAAGATATACCTAACAAAGTGCCCAGTGAGTGTATGTTCCAGTCCTAACCTGCTCTCATGAGCTCTAGGTCGTTTCTGAAAGAGTGAGATCAAGCAGACAAAATTTGTGATAGCTGTGCTAAGGCTTAGAGATAGGGTGAGGAGCTTGTACATGCAGATGGAGCTCAGAGTAAATCTGTTGCAAGACCCAGACTTCACTGGATTTTATACATCTCATCTCACCCCAATGTTCATAGGAAGTAGGATGTCTGAAACTCCCTGTATAGCCTCTACACCCAGGATCCAGCCACAAATAAGTGATAGAAAACAAATGGAACAATGGGGTGTAATGAATGGATGAAAAAAAAAAACCCATCAGGCTAAAAGTAATTAAGTTATACTTCTAAAGTTGTAGCTATAAGATTTAAAATACTATATTTGTTGACATATTGTCAACTAGTAAAATGACCTTTGGGGTCCAAAATAAGTTCCAGTCAGATCTAGAACTAAATCATTTGTATTTTTTAATTAAGCATTTGAAATTACTGTAAAGTGGTACACATAGTATATGTTGACTAATTTTCTTTGTGTCCTTAGCTGTATCTACAGCAGATAAGGACATACTGTTTATGCATATGCTCCCTTGTCTGAGCACTGCAAGTACAGGATAATATGATTCAGGTTTTCAGTTTCCCTCCTAAACACTAATTTGTTATTTTCCAGTTTCCTTCTGCTTTTAAGTGTTTTATTAGCAAACCACACACACACACACAGAATATTAAAAATTACACACGCTCCACTAACACACAAGTTTTTTTTTTTCACTTTCTATTTTTTACTACTGATTATGAATAAAAGACTTACCCAGCTGATTGTTGTGAATGACGTGCAAATCATCCTGGCTCTGAAAAGACAGAGAGACTTTTTAATAATTCAAATTGCAGTCTTCAAATAATGACCCACATACATTCACTTCTTTGTTTTAACATATCATGTAAAAAGTGTCAAAATATGAATTGTGTGAAAATCTCTTTTTTTTTTGCAAAATACTCCATTTCCTCTTGCTAATCACTAATTAAGACTTAGTGATACTAAATATGGAATCCCCTACAGGATATTTGGAAATATAATGGGCGACACCCCGCGTCATTAGCCCAGCCTAATTGTGTGGGTTTTGTGCCTGCAGCATTAAGCTCTGTGCATGAGGCTCAATTAAGGCATTCTGCACTGTTCCACCTCCAGAGCTGTCAGCACTGGCTGCAGACCATGGAAGGATGAGTAAATCAATCACAAGCCAGGGAAACTTTGAAGAGCTGTCTTTCACCTCTATCTTTCAGAGTAAAATTTTTCAGTCTTGGGGAAGATTGCATGAATGTCTGAGTTGTGCCTGTTTCCAGAACTCTAGACCGAGAGCTGCAGAGTATTAATAGATAATGACAAACCAAACCCTTTTTTGATTTATGACTTCCTCTAGACTAACAATCATTTCACTGGCAAGCTGTTGCAGCCTTCAGATAGCTTAACTAAGTCATAAATTTACTGTCGGTGGGTGTGTTACAGCAGTTACAGGGGATCACAGTAGTTTGGTGGCATTTGCAAGAAGCAGGCTACATATAAATGTGCTGAGATAGCACATTTACAAACTAACAATTTCTAGATTAGAGGACAGCCCATTAATTTTACCCACTTTCCTCCTGAACACCTTCCTATAACTGTTGTGAGTACACATCATTTATTTTTGTGGTGTGCCCGTTTCCTGCACGTCCCCTCTGTTAATTGATCAAATCTCGAAATTGAGCATTTGACATGAGATGTAGTAAACTGAAAAAAAAGAAGGAAAAGCTGGCATCCATAACGCCATTAACACAGCAGTGATTTGTGCATGTGTGATGCTCTCTGTCTTTTCCTATTTTTTCAGGTGATCAGAGTTAGAGGCAATATATGCACAGGCAGACAAGATCATATCAGGGTGATTTGATTCAGTGGGTACATCAGCTTAATTGGACTCAGTAGCATTAGTCATGCCCACAAGGCTTCTGTCTCATCTTATCAGACATTACTTGTTTGAAATCATTTCGTTAGCTGAAGAGAGAAGGCACCTAAGGAAAAAAAACAGCTCATAAGCAAGGAGAATCTGACTTGTTATCAGATAATTAGTCTTATAAAATCTCTTCAGCTTGAAAATATAGCAGGTTATTATGGAAGAGAAACTACTCAAAAAGTGGAGGTATGAATTAAAGGGGTGTAGAAATTGCTATATATATGGTGGTTGTGACAGAGGCGTGCCACATGCTTTTCACTCTGTCTCTCCCAGCACAACTTCACTCTGGGGCGCAGAAGAAACAGTAAATCACTGCACTGTGACTACAAGGAAAAAATAACTCAAGACACCCATTATGACAAATTACCTGCTCTGTCAAACATTGCCAATTATATTGATTGTATGTGTACAAATCTTTGTGTGTATATAATGTGTACATAAAAATGGTTTTTACACAAGCCTTAACAAGGCCTAATGCTTTGTGACACACTTTAATGAGAAATTTCAAAATAGACCCAGTACCCCTACACCAATCTAAATCATTTTGTAATGTTGTGTCTTTTTTCCGTTTTAAATCAGCTGTTTTGTTATGAACTCTTGTAATACAATCTGTGTTGAGTCAGAAAAAAAAGGAGCCTCCTTATTTATTTCATGTAGACCACTGCTTTGGCACAGCGGGGCTCCTGACGCAGCTGCCTCTGGCCACAAATATTAAAATAAAAAAAAAAAATCCACTGGGTCATCTGACAGCAAAAGCTGAACATTTCCAACACATCATCATCATCCAGCGAGGGACTGTTTTGACTGTTCAATCACATGCAAGAGCACGTTCTTGGCATATTCCTTTTCTCAGTTACCGATCTCTTGTAGTGACGGGGTAGAAATTGTTGCTGGTACAGCTTCCTAGAATCATGTGCTATTGCACTGTGAAACAGCTGCACAGCATTTTACCCTCTGTTTAGCCTTCAAACTCAGCTCCATTACTCAACCCGGAAATTTCAGCTCACATTTCATCTTCTCACCTGCACACGCTGTAAACTCTTTGTGCTTATTTATACAATGTTATTTTCAGCTCTAACACCTGCTTCAGCTACCTGATGTACTTTCTTGATGCATTTTCTTTTATTTGCTTACTTCAGCAAGACATTGCTGTAAACACGATAAGTTTTACATAGAGTATCTATTAACCTCCAGTGTACGGTGGATTTTTAAAAAAGTAAAAAACACAACAAAGTTATGTCAAATAATCTTCATTTAGCATAGAAAACCCCAAAACACTGAGCAGAATGAGAAAACAACGTGCCAGACGTTAAAATCTGAATCTTTTTCTGTTTGTTGTTTTTCTTATACTACTTATAGGTGCATTGCCATCGCATTGCGTTTTATCTCTTATCAATTGACGCATTAAAAAATAAATAAATAGTTGACAGAATGAAAATGAAACCTCAGTGAAGCTTCAGCTCCACTGAGAAAAACAAAAACAAAACAAAAAACCTACCAATAAAAACAGGCATCAAAACATCAAATCTATGTAGGACAGAGAAGGGGAACTCTTAACTGAAACTATGAAAAGCATAAAATGTCAGATTTCTATCATGTTTTGAATATGAGGTCTGACTTTCTGTTTTTAATTACTTCATTTTGTTTAGCTCTCTTCTACTGCAAAGGTTTAATGCCACCTCACTGATGAAATAGAAGATGGAAAGCAGTCAGTACAATGTGCCGTGAGTTTCATTTTCTTTTGAAGGTTGTTTTTTTTTCAAGCTTGTGCAGATGGATCAAATTCTGGGTTGTTGATGTTTAAATGGACTTTTTCTTTCAAAGAGGTCATATTATGCTTTTCTTGAGTGTATTTTACATATTATTTCTGCATGTATAGAATGGTACAAGGTTAGAAGTCTGTAACAAAGAGGATTATTTTCTCCCACAGAAAATGAATTTAATTTTAATCCATTGCTGATGGCATCATAACATATGAGATATATTGCAATATATTACAATATTTAAATGTGTGGCTATAAATTAGAAGTTATAGTCATGAGATTAAAATGATATGATGGTTTTATAAAGTGTTACAGGTGCATAAATATTAAAAATAGCCCATTTTGGTAGGTGGTTGCCAGGCAACAATGATTGTGTCATTATATTTAATGCATAATTCAGGTTTTTTCAATACAAATGAATTGTTACTGTTGTGAAATTAAAATTATCCAATGCTTTAATAAAATGCAAAACATTAGTCATTTTAGCCTGTTGGTAGGTGGTTTGACATCATAATATCTGATATAGATAAGAACCTTCAGGGACCTAACATGTACCTGTGTGCCAAGTGTGGTCGCTGAAGTCTGGATTGTGTAACAAGAGTTGTGTGGACAAAACATACAGACAAAGATTTGGTGTATTACAGTGAGATGCCTGCTTACTAGTTAGAACAGAGGATGAGCAGAGCAAGCACAATTTTCTTCAAAACAAATTCCTGATTTATGCGGCGCAAAGAATCAATGATTAAAATTATGTTTCAACACTGTTACCCGCGTTTTTACTGTCTTCTCTCAAACTGACCAAAGGCTGCTGCCTGAACCAGGCATAGTTCAGTGCTGGATTTTTGCAGCAGTTCCCTCGTCTGCAAAAATCAGAAAAGAAGGCATTACATAATGGATAGCTGGCTGACCAATCAAAGGAGACTAGGTTTGATACGGAGGCTTTAGAGAGAAAGAACATAAAACAAAGAGTCTCAGACAAATGGTGAAGTGAAGTGCTGCATGCACGGTAAGAATGAAAAAAGGTTTTTCAAATAGGAAGTGATGTCAACCAATTCCAGAAAACCTCCAGAATAAATTTATGAACCTACAAAAGAGCATATTGCGGCCTCTTTACAAGCTTGATCTATTACCTGCATGTAAACAACATGGAAATAAAATCTGCTTCAACAACAAATTTATATGGTGAAGAAATGAGTCATTGGATTTTACCTAAAATTCCTTTTAAAGCCATCTCTTTGGTTTCACTTCATAAAATCCCTGGGTGACACAAGGGCTACAAATCTTTCTTTGGAAAATGATCTCATATTCCACGCAAGAGTGAACTCACATCAGGTCTCATATCATTTTTACTATTACTGAGAGATTAATTAGTCTCAGCTCACAGAATCCGGCTCTTCTTAGCCTTCTATACTTTTGCACGCAGGTAAGGCTCTTCTTAATCCCATCTGACAGCAGGCTGTCAGCCATTTGCAGCAGGAATCAGACACCCATTGGTGTTAAAAAGAAATTGCTGAGAGTCTATACTGTCCATCTGCAGGGGTTAGTTTCACCATCCCTTGAGCGCTTTTGATCTAAGACACCACAACACTGATGCAGACAGACAGAAAGATTGTGCCTCATGTAGTGTAACCTTAGAACAAAGGCAGCGCCGCAGTAAAGGTACTCAGAGGTGTACATGTGTAAACTGAAGAACGATCCTCAGCCTACCTAATGCGATTGTTACGTAATCAAGGACACCGCAATGACAACCTTTTGATCCCTGCCTTTTATTTGGATGCTCTTCACATACACACAAAGACGAGTTCCTGGCCCTGTTACAGCTCTCAGTCCCCGAGGACACAGACACTTCACTGACATGAGTGACCCGTCAGGTCACATTAGATTTCTGTTTACTGATGGCAAGCATGTTTCAAGGTTGCAGGATTTTCTGGATTTTGACATGTGGAAAATGTGTGATGTTCAGAGAAGCTGATGTCTAGAAGGACTCTGAGCACCTTAAGAATGTGAAAGGTTGGAGATTATATTGGTCTATATTTGTGTTAAAGCTGGGTTCTTGTGTTTTTGTGTAATTTTACACAAAATTATAAAAAACGTTCAGAG